CTCACTCACCTACCTCACTCACTCACCTACCTCACTCCCTCACACTCTCACTCTCACCCACACTCACACTCTCACCCACACTCACTCTCACTCACACTCACTCACTCACTCACTCACCACCACCGCCACCGTCACCACGATCCCCACCTTGATCACCACCATCACCTCTCTGGACCCCAATGCGTATAGATCTCTAGACTTTCTGCTTATAGACCTCACACACACAGTTTGGGGTCTCTTGCCGGGATAATTTTTCCATGTAAAAAGCACCTGGGAAACTAGACCGTTCTAGACGGATGATGCAGGCATCCTCATGATGCAGTCTGTCCATCCGACTGGAACAGTCGATCCCATTTTTTACATGTAAAACACACATGATTTAGTGGTCCCCAAATAGATAGTGGCACGGTGTCCAATACATGTTTAGTGGGAATTCACTTTTCTATCATTTGGGGGTCTGTATAATACATGCTTTACATGTAAATGTGTAATCTGATGTATCTGAATATTTGAAACCTCTGCGGCCTGAAAAAACACACTCACCCAAACATGCATAAGACTTAAGATGACTGTGAAGACGGCCAAAAAGATCCTGGATTCCCTGACGATTTGTGACGCCACCAAGAACCGATTTGTGACTCCTGTTTTGGAGCAATCAACATACACCCATGTTACGAGGTGAACCAACACGGTGAACCCTGGAAGAGAAGCCGACACGCCTTCTCCTCGCCTTAGAGTCTCTCAACTCTTGTGAGAGAGAGGCAGAACGTGATGTGGAGAAGCTGACATGGCACCAAAATGCACCAAGTGTACAAGATGCGCTAATTCTACCTGTAGAATCCCAAACTCCATGTAGCAATGTTTGACTTACATCTGGGCGGTTGGTTGGTAACTGCAACATAGCTGATTATGGTTCATAACATGGGGCCCTTAACCAACATAACATATTTCATCGAGTCTGATTGGTCATGAATAGGATTTAGAAAATCTTGCATGTCCAACGATTTGAACATATTTGAGTCCAGTCCAGACCAATAATGACCAACAGACTTACAGGTCAGTGGACAACAATTTTGTCTCTTTATAGAGGTGCCGGGGAGGCACATCGAATTGTGAAAGGTAGAGGGAAATTCAAAAGGTGCTGGCCGTTTTCCCAGTTGGTCCCGACTAAATGCTGGCCCTGGAGCAACCTAAATGGAACAAACATTATCTGAAGACTTCTATACTTGCCAAGATGTCTTCCAACAGCTTTTGTTTAACGGAGGGTAGTGTGACTCAACATTCAGGTGCAATCAATGAGGTTGACACCGGGCATGTACATGAGAGGTCTTCGCCGGTATCTGGTGTTCAGACTCTAATCCCTAGCCCAGGAGCAAAAGGATATGTACATAGTTTCAGGAACAAGTGTGGGCCCTACCTCTTTCGGGTGAGTCCATGCAGTCCATCTGGAGAGTTTCAACAATTTCCAACATGATCTGATTTCCAAAAGCGGCATGCAAGCGGACGCTACTAGGGGCTCCTGGCCGTACTACTAGGAGCAAGGACGCTACTAGGGGCTCCTGGCTGTACTACTAGGAGCAAGGACGCTACTAGGGGCTCCTGGCCGTACTACTAGGGGTTCCTGGCTGTACTACTAGGAGCAAGGACGCTA